TGTATCGCAATATATCGTGATTTATCGTATCGTCTCCCCTGTATCGTGATGTGTATCGTGTCGCCAGAATCTCAAAAATACACATCCCTGGCTGAAAGGCTTATAGATATGACCAAAGCTCCCCTGCTAAAAGCTCCCCTGCTAAAAAAGCAAGTCTAAATTAATTAAACAGGGATTTCAGTGTGCCCCAGGGCAGCTGTGGCTACAATGTAGCTCATCACCACCACCAGGGTGTGAATTATTTGGGTTTGAAATCACAAAGGTGGTGTTTAGGGTATTTGTCTTTAATTTTTAAATCAGAAGAAAGTATTTTTGTTTTAATTCTGCACATTTTCTCATTTTATTTTTTCTGCCCTTGAACATGAAGACAAGTTCAGATCCGCTTCCTGTCACTGTGACATCACACCATCTTCTCCTGATTTGACCTCTTCCTTCTTAAACTCTGATCTGCTCAGCATAAAGTCAGAACAGAAATCAGGCCTGACCAGACAAGACCGCCTCGAGAAATCACAAGAAACTCTGTGTCGCCCCCTGGTGGAGTCACAGCTCCTGGAGGAGGAAGCTGATTGTCGTCTCCTTGGCAACGAGTATCCATCAAGTGAAGAGAACCGGATCCTGGTTGAAGCCGGCTGCATCGTTTGTCCATACTGCTGCTTCCTCATCGACAACACCTGCAACCTCCCAGACGACACAACCCTAACGGAGAGCTTCCCAGACTCACCTCCCCACAAACAGACTCTAGCGACACCGGGGAAGCAGGACAGTCTCTCTGAAAGATCCTGCTTTTACATCGGGACAAAAGAAACAAAAGTCAGAAGAAGACATGGTAAAAACCAGAACCGGCTTGAAAAAGGAATCAGAAAGCAGAAAACCTTCATGGCAGAAAAAATAAAACCAGTCACGCAAAGTCAGAGGCTGCTGGAGCCGATCAAGAAGGCTGATGTGAAGGAAACAACGGATAACACAAGGAAATTAGGAGAGAACGGACAAATAAAAAGTCAGTTTTTCAAAGAAAAAGAGGGCGCCAAGAAGGACAAAATACATCTGAACAAAGCTGTTCGATCAGCAGAACGCAGCAGCGGGAATGTGCTGGAAATCTGGGTGAAAAACGAGAAACTGGCGTGTTTATTACAAAATCTGGCGTCATTAATGCAGAGCAAAACATCTGGAGCTGCTGCTACATCTGCTACAGCTGCTGAGAGAGCAGAAGAGCAAACCAAACAGAAGGCCGGAAAGAGAAAGCTGGGAAAAGAAACCCAACAACTTGTTTCAAGTCCGGTGAAAAAGAGGACCAAAGATCAGGATGGGGGGCCAAAGTAGGTAAAGGTTAGACAAAAGGCCCCACGAAAAGGGGTCATTAAAGACGATGTCTCAGAAGAACCACTGAAGAAGAGACGCGGGGAAAAGAGTCTACCAAAAATACCCAAGACAACTCCTAAAGCAGCTCCAGAGACTTCCCAACGGAGTGTAGAAAATACTGGGAAGATGAAAATGATAATAACGACCGGCAACGGAGTCCAGACTAAAGCTAAAGCAGGTTCTGAGGAGTCAGAGGATGTGGACATGGAGAGACCATCCAGACTTGTGAGTCTAGAGAAGATACTCCAAAACAGACGTGAAGTTTCTAAACAAGGCTCGAAGCAGGATCCTGGGAAAGCTGAAGTCCAGCCAAGAGCAGCAAAACTGCCCAAAAACCCCAAGTTTCAGAGACTCAAGTGTTTGAATGTGTTTAAAATGTTCCGTTTATTGTAAAATTAAAGAAGATTCACAGAAAAATAAAGATTTATTATAAACACACACACCTTTATAAGTAACATCCTCAGAAACACCTGAAACAAGGCATCCATATATAAAAAGTCACACACTTCTACCACCTTCATGTTGACATTAGCATCTGTGCAGGTGATGCTGCGTTTAAAAACAGCCCAGTGTTCCAAGTAAAGCAACTTCCTGTTGATGAATCAGGAGTTTTTGTTCCGTTTTCATCATAATCACAGCAGACGCTCACCTTCAGTCAGCCGGCCCTGACAGGAAGCCTCGGCGTAGAGGGCATCAGCGCCGTCCTGAGGATTACCGAGCAGCGCCCTCATGAGATCAGAGAGCTTCTCTGCACTCGGGCTGCCTGTGCCGTCACGGTTAAACAGCCTGAAACAGGAGAAAGATGATAAATATTGATAACACACTCCTAAATGTTGGGTTTAGTTGCAGATGCATGATGAAGGCGGAGTGGAGCAGGGAGCTGAAGCTGGTGAGTCCTGAAATACTGAAGTAAGCCTGCCTCAGGTCCACCGTTTCATCCTGAAATAAGATAAAGACACATCTGGTCACACACACACTGGTGGCATTAATGTCAAAACTTCTCTTTATTCAGTTACATGTGAGCCTCAATAGCATTCAAGCACTTTCAGTGTGAATTTGTAAGGATTTTCCAGCACCGACCACTGAGGATGAGTACACACACATGAATGCCACCACAGGCTCCAGAATATTATTTAAAGAGCAAGTCACCCCCTACCAAAGTCTTACTCCACCCCTATTTCCTGTTTGAAAAAATGTGCCACAAGGAGGTGTTGCCTGGCAGACCCAGAGGGTGGAGCCAATGACAAATACACACACACACACACACACGCACACACACACACACACACATAGGCTAACAACGACATCGTGACATCATAATGTACCAGCTAACATCATGGTGTACCTCTTAGCCAATAGTGAAGGCTGATTTAAATTGAAATGTAATGAATGAAAGAGTTTTTTCCTGAAGATGACACAACACTGAGTTTTAGGCAGAATATTAAAATTTTAACTAAGATGCACAGAAGTGCCAAAGTATTGACTACACGTGTCTACAGCACGATTAGACACTCAGTTGTATAATTTATCAGCAAAAAGAAAAGAAAAAAGCAGATTTGGGGGTGACTTGCTCTTTAACTTCTTTGTCTCAAATTTGTCTGAATCTATTTTAGTAGAAAAACTTTAAATTACACTACAAAACCGAGGATTTCCAAGGATTTCAAGCACCAGCAAAACTAGGAATAGACCCATAGGTCAGTTTAGTAGAGCCCATTTAAAATCAGGCACACCCACAGGCAGCCCGGTGATGCTGCAGAATATTTACCATCATGAAGTGTTTTAAATGGAAATGTCTTTATTTGCTTGTTTTGAATTTAATACCTGGTCAGTTTGTTTAACTTTGGTTTAATGTTTGATTTTTGTCACAAAATGAAGATGCAAAAGCTGTTTAAGTGTTCAAAGCTGAGAAGGCTCAGAAATGTTCTATTGTTATGGTGACATTTTAGCAGTCAAATAAAGCGGAACAATCTAGATATCAGCTAAGAATGTATATATATATATATATATATATATATATATATATATATATATATATATATATATATATATATATATATATATGTGTGTGTATATGTATATTTATTTATTTATTATTATTATTATTATTATTATTATTATTATTATTATTATTATTATATTGCTCTTGTTGTGTTTATCATTTTGTTATTGTACAACAAAAAAGCCAATATACTTGTTTATAGATTGAAGTCAGGATATCACTTTTTTCACAAATAGCCTTCTACTCGTATTTCCACCATCATGCTGGGATAAACCAGTGACCCTTTGTGACGTGTGGGAATGTTGGGTGCACAGTGCAAGCCATATAAGGGATCAACATGACTTGTTATTTACATGTTTGACCTTTGACCCTGAATTCATTGAGTTAAAATTAGACAAAAAAACTGTGTAAAAAGGTATTTTATACATTGACTTTGATAATTCATGTTCTCAAACTTATTTTCAGCTCTAAAAAACAAAAAGTATTAAACTGGGAAAGTTAGTCTGATTTTAAAGAGGTTTTTTGTTTGTTTGTTTGTTTTTTTGGCAAGACAACAAAAACGACCAGCCAAACAACAAAACATTGTGTTTGTATATCTCCTCTCACCTCCCAGGCTTCTTTACTAGCTGAACATATTGGGAGTTAGAAAGAGAAATAAATCCTCCCAGTTTGGAGCTGACAGCTGCTGGGAGGCCTTTTGTGATCCACCACCTCCAGCCACATGAATGTGGTCAGAGGGATTCATTTCTCCACAAGGAAAACAATTCTTTTCCCATCTCAGTGGTTGACCTAATGTGTTGTTTTCCACAGAATGGCGTCAGTTCATGACAAAAAGGGAGCTTGTTGGATTTTGGGCTCTACTTCTCTTGCTTATAACCATTGAACTTCAAATGTCATTTGCAGTAAAATCATCTGATCTCAGATGTTATACTTTTTACCACCACTGGCCATCTGCTTCCACAGTGTTTAAATGTTTTTGGTGTGGTTCTGCTTCTTGGCCAGGTCTCCATTTCAAAAGAGATCTTGATCTCAATAGGATAAAAATATATAACTTCCAGAGCAGAAATGTTATCTTTCCAGTAAATTAGCAGTTGTCAGAAGAATGGTCCGGTTCTGTTGGCCTCTGAGCTGAAAAATCCCTCCAGAACTCATCAAACTGATCCAGATTGGGTGTTTTCTCTGAAAAGTGATAAGAAAACTGATAAATTAAAGGCTTGTTATTAAATGTCTTTGTAAATTTTGTTTACATAAAACAATCAGTTTTGTTCTGATTTACAGATTTGGGTTGCACTGGTGAAGCGCTCTAGGTTTTCTCATGTCTTTGTTTATGGTAGACTGTTGATAACAGGACTTTTTCCTTTGAACAGATCATTTAAAAATTATTTGAACTAAATTTGTTGAGTTTCCGCCTCTTGTTTGAGACTAGAAGATTCCTGAAGCGCTGGATTCAAGTGCAGCTGCTGCGGTTGACCCTTGAGTCTTATTTGAAAGACAACTGGTGCTGCTCCACACACACACACACACACACACACACACACACACACACACACACACACTCACACTCACACTCATACCTACACACACACACACACACACACACACACACGCACACACACACACACACTAAACCAAACCTATAAAGAGACCAGAAACTTGAAACATTTTCTTTCATCTCTCTTCTCGGCTGCATGCAGAAGACTGCTTGGAGCGATGTCTGAGTGAGTCCTGAGTCAAACTTTTTATGTCATAAAGTTGACTAAATGTCTCACCTTTGTCCTCGCTTGTCCTGAAGGAAAAAGATGCCAGTGAGCCGGAGGAACCATCTCAAGGTGGGGTTGCCTGCATCCATGCAGGTTGTGATTAAATGAAAACCGTCCTGCCTGTTTGTGGAGTTTTTGGATCAAAATATTCTAGAAAAATGCACTTTCACCATGTTTTGTGTTTCATGTTGTTAATTTGAAAGGTTTACACATATCAGACTTTTCTAGCATTTATTGTTCTGCTTTTTCCTTTCACTACTCCTCCTGCACCTCCTCTTAGAGTTTGCTGCTCCAGATAGGTAAGATGATGCTGGAAGAGGAGGCCCGGGAGGCAGAGATGGAGAAAATAAAGTATATAGAGGAGAACTGTCCCACCCTCTCCATGCCACGATGCTCACATGAGCTGCAGGTAGAGAAAACACAGCATTTTTTTTGTCTTTTGTTTTTAACTTGAACTCACCATATTTATTCAACAGATGTTGGGAGAAAACAGAAATCCTGTTCGTGTTTTACACCCAAAATACCTCATTTATGTGTCAAGATATAATAAAACACTGAAAAAATCACAAAACAGGTTTTGTGACATGAAACTTTCTGAGAAATGTTTAGTTTTAGGTTGAGTTGGTTAAATCTTGTTCTTAAACACCAGGAGCTGTGTCGGAAACTTCACAAGCAGATTGATCTGGTGGACGAGGAGCGGTATGACTTGGAAATGAAAGTAAAGAAAAATGACAAGGAGGTTTGTCTTCTTTGAGGAATTTCTATTAAGAAGCTTGGTTAGTTTTTCAACATATTTTACTCATTAAAACCAGGTGATCATTATGTTTTAGCTGTTATTTTATTTTTAAACAAACTAAATGCATAATTGAACTAAATGACATATGAGTGACTGTTGTCTGGTCAGATTGATGACCTGAAGAGGAAGATTCAGGATCTAAACGGGAGGTTTAGAAAGCCAGCCCTGAGGAGGGTGAGGATGTCAGCTGACGCCATGTTGGCTGCGCTGCTGGGCTCCAAACATAAAGTGTCTCTGGACCTCAGAGCCAACCTGAAGCAGGTCAAAAAGGAGCTGAAAGAGGAGGTGGGTGCATCAGAAGTCATCTCAGTAGCAGATGTTGTGCCTTGCCTGAATGACTGTTGTTTGTCATACACGGATTGCATCACTGTTTCATCTGACATGTTACAATAAGGGTCCCTTTATTAACGTTACTTAGTGCATTATTAAGTATTAATAAACAAAGGATCCCTTTATTAATATTCCAGATATTGGTAACTATTAAGTGTCATTAAGGTTGGAACAAAGGGCCAAGAGTGTGTGTGTATCCTTAGTAATGCATTACTTAATATTAACATTATTAATAAGCACTTAATACTTTATTTAATAGTATATTAATGCATAATAATGCCCTAAGTAACGTTAATAAAGGGACCCTTGTTGTTGACGAGTGTTACCCATTAATTACAAATCCCGTCTCCTAGGAGAAGCAGACAGGCGATTGGAGGAAAAACATCGAGGACAAGGCCGGGATGGATGGTAGAAAGAAGATATTTGAAACAGAAGCTTAAATGTTCTGGTGTTGATCTTTGAATAAGTTTGGATGTGATGTTAATCCAAGTGTGCTGTTTTTCATTATGCATGTTAAAGACATAATTATACCACTTTGTTGATGATTGAAGCTAGAGCATAAAAAATAGCAAAGCATCAAGTGAACTAATAATTAGCCTCCCCCCCCCCCACACACACACACACACACAAGAATAAAGCTGGATTACACAAGAAAAAAGAACCAATAGAACGTTATAGTATTGTTGTAACGCATAAATTAACATATAGCTAATGATTTGTTAAAATAACATAACAAACAAAAAGAAATTAAACTAATATTGAGGAAAAAAAGTATAAAACAAGCTAAATGTCATATTCACGATGAATAGACATTTCAGTTGCGTTTTTGTCGGTGTTGTGTTTTCTAATAAAGTTGTAGGCATTTTTTTTGTCGGTCACGTGACTGCTCTGAAAACCTTGTGACGAATCTGATCTGGTGATAGAAGTAGAAAATCAGAGGTAATAGGAGACTACGATTAAAAAAAATAAATATCAAGATTCGTTGATTGGTTTTAAACCATCGGTGCCTCCTTCGAAAGAGCCAAAATGACGGCAGCGGTGTTTTTCGGCTGCACTTTTATCGCCTTCGGCCCGGCCATCGCTCTGTTTCTGTTTACCATCGCCCGGGAGCCGCTGAGGGTCATCTTCCTCATAGCAGGGTGAGAAGAAACGTTTTGTCTTCAGCTGGGGGAAGGGGGTTGTTTAGGAGTCAAAAGGGCACATAGATACAGCTGTCCATTCACCTACTGAAGAAATGTAGCAACCAAAGCTAACGTACTAGCTGTTATGCTACGGTTAGCTGCTAGCCAAGCCGCTGTAAAACAGCCATTAGCCGGGCAGCATCTGGCTGTTGCATTATTAACCTTTAATACAAACACAGCTCCTTCCTGTAAAGTGGTGAGACACACACACACACACAGTAGTAGTGCTTAAAACGGCATCTCCACTGACACACCGACAAATAAACAGAAAATCACACAAGAATCCTGTCAAAAGATGACTGCCTGTTCATTATGGAACCATACCAAAAATGCTTTGATATTTATAGTTTTTAAACTTGACTGTAGTAAACTTTACATAACCACTGTATGTCAAATCCTCAATATTTGTGTTCTGCAACTACACATTTTTTTATGACTGATGCTCTGAGGAAAAGGGAGTGGGCTTGTGAACTGTTAAACTATAGCTCAATACTTATTTTTTAATTGTTTGGGACAATCATTTGATTGAGAGCTGTCAAATAAACTAGATTCCTTATCAACTCAATGCCATCAGAAGCGCTGCATCATTCACTTATGTACTTTGAGTAATAAATAAAAAATTGGATTAGTCAGTTAATTTTTTCACACCAGATTTGAAGCCACATCATAAAGAATGTCTTGGTCACAAACACTGAATTAAAACTAAACAGAAACTTCTGGGATGTTTTTTTTATATCAAAGCAGTGTTTCTAAACTTTTCTGTTTGTGTTTTCAGGGCATTTTTCTGGCTAGTGTCGCTGCTGCTGGCCTCTCTGGTATGGTTCATCTCAGTTCAGATCAGTAATAAGGACAACCCAGGGCAGCAGAAAGGCCTGCTGATCTTTGGTGTGGTGTTGTCAGTCCTGCTGCAGGAAACCTTCCGCTTTGCTTACTATAAGCTGTTGAAGTAAGTTGCTGCCTCAGGAATCCTTAACACTGGCTCTCCTGCTGCTCTGATTGTATCTTGTTAACAGTGTTTTGCTTTAGTGTGGACAAAACTGTACAAACAAAAAACTAAATTCTCAAACAGTTCTGTTTATTCCCTTTTTATTCTGAAAAGTTTAAGACCTCCTGTTGCAGTTCAGATCACGTTTCTCAAAGTCTCCCATAGGGATGTCCCATTCCGATATTGATATCGGATATTGGCCCAAAACCACTGTGTCGGATTATATCGGACTGCATCTAAAATCTCTGATATTAGTAGTACGTTCCGCTTTAAATGCCGTTACATCAATTCTATCCAGCAGTGCCCAGATCCAGCATGCAAAGTCCATGTGATCAGAACATTGTGTGCTACTAAAATAGCAAGGATCAATGTTGGTAAGGTGGCTGTATTTTTCGTTACAGTCCGAAAAAGACAGTTTGACTCAGTACAACACTTGTCATGCACAAGTTTCCTTTGGTGGAACAGAACTGGGGAAGTTTAATACGTGCAACATCAGAAACAGGATTGAAACAGGATCATAAAACATTGCATGAAGATTTTTGCAGTGTGCGAAATTGAAACTTTAGACACTCAACTTGTAGCAGTTGGTGAGTGAACAATATTGTGTTTTTTTTTCCTTTTGTCCCTAAACTCGGCTGTTCACATTTATGAAACCAAAAGTTAATAAAAATTGGTCAGTTTTCTATACTTACGGTTGCTGGCTTTTGTTTTCTGTTTGAGTAAAATCACTTAATCAAGCCTTTTATACATTCCACACTTTGAAATAGGTAAAAGTATGTATGTTTTGCGCTGATATCATATCGGATTGATATCGGTATGGGGAAGGCTGCAATATCCTATCGGAAGTGCAAAAGTTGTTACATGACACCCCTAGCCTCTCGGGTTTACTTATGTTCTTGTTTTTCTTGCAGGAAAGCGAATGAAGGCCTCCTCATTTTAAGTCAAGAAGAAACTATGCCAATATCCATACGACAGCTGGCCTACGGTACACGCTTACTGCACTTCTCATCATCATATGTCACATTTGTATCTCCAGATTCCATCAGAAGGCTGGATACGTGCTTTCATGACACATTCATTAATCAAACTTGAAATTTAGGAACTCTGATGAAACTATGGGCCTGATTCCCAGGTTCTACTGAGCAGATGTAGACTACATCCTGCAGTTTTGGAGAAAAACTAGAGTATTTTTATTTTAGACTTCAAGATTAAAAAACAATAATAATTATATGCAAACTATTTCATTCATCCCCCTTTTTAATGTCTGATTTTATTTAAAAATTTTCTTAGACCACTTCTTTTTCTGGGGCTTTAAATGCTGTTTTTTTCTAAATTAATCAAATATTTTTATGTCTTGAAGTAAAAACATCTTCCAAACTCAGTGTGTGAACCAGAGCTACGCTAACAGGTAACAGACAATGTGGCAAAGGACTGGTTTCCTGTTGGAGCTAAACAACGTGTTACTATCAGTGTTTAACAGAAAACATCATTCATTCTCGTCTGCAGGAATACTTAGACAAACACGAGCCAACAGGGAGGTACAAATAGTTCTCTACAAAAACCTGTGTGGACTACCCCCTCCTTAAAAAAGAGTCTGTGAAATTGATTCTTTCAAGTTGTTTGCAAATCAATCTTGAGAAATTACAGTTGTGCTTTTGGATCTGGTGGCTTTTAACAGTGTGCCTTTGATACACTTTCTTAGAGGATTTGAGAAATCACTGCTTTGGTTTATCCAGAAGCCTCCTATGCCTGATGTAGTCACAGGTCACGACTCAGATTTAGTCACAGGTCATGACTCAGGTCACAGGTCAGGGCTAAACCTTTTAACAAACCAAACAAAAACAAATTCCTCTTAGAATGAGCAGAAAAAATAAGAGAAAAATAAAACACCTGAAGTCCAAATAATAGTTTTTACAACCTTCAGGGAGTCTAAAAACGTAGATTGAGACCACTTTCTAAAATTTACACAAGAGTTAGATTAATTTGAAGATGTAAAGGATGGATAGTTTACATCTTACTTATGAACCATAAAATGTGAGATTCCATAGAAATATGAAATATCAATCTGATGGATCTTTGAATAATTTAACCAGAAGATCAGAACTTTTTATTGCAGGGATTAAGTGACACTTCGTATTAACTCCAAGGGAAGAGAGAGAGTCGAGTTAAAGTAGTTAAGAAAATTATTTCTACACAATTTAAACAAGACTAACTTTAACACTCTGTGTACTGATGGACTAAGATGGAGTGAGACGTGAGATGAACGATGTATGTGTGGAATGTGGTTATCAGAACCTTAGGATCCGGAGAAGCAGTTAGTTCTGAGTGGGAGTGAATGTTTCGCTCTAAACTTTAGTTGGAGAATAATAACACACGTGAAACGCCATCTGTCGGTCTACATACCCCAGGGGAAACCTCTGTTTAGATCCAGAATGTCGAGGTCCTCTTGGACCCTCCTTGGAACCAAATCTGGTAGAGAAGCAGCGGTGCCTACCAAACTAGTCTTGGAATGCTTCCAGGTCACGACAGGTTCATTGGCGTCAGCGAGACCCTGAAGGGGTCATGAGGTTCAGCTTTTATTCTGAAGGAACCGTTGCGGTCAGGTGTAACTTGCAACAGATTTTATCCAGCTTGTTGAGGTTCTTTTTGGCTGAAGAGGAAGTCCGGATGGCCTGTCCGAGACTTCTCTAGAACGCTTTGAACTAAAGAAAAGGTGGCCTGGAATAGTTTTTATAATTGTCATATTTTGGTTTACTGGAGAATCAGAATTTGACATGCAAAAGAGGGTTTATATAAACACCACAGAAAACCACGCCTAGCGCCAAAAACAAAGGTTCTGATTGGATCAGACAAAAGGAAATGTGTCGTGTGGCTTAAGCATTACGTGTCATTAGTGTCTAGTGCAAATGTCCAAGATTATAATAACTTGTAAAATACTACTGATCACAGGATTATAATGTCAAGTAATAACATTGTCATTTCACAGATTGATTGAACATTGGGCTCACATTATTATTGGTAATAACAAAGTTGTTGATTATGTGTTTATCAAAAGAGAGTTCTTCGTCTTCGTATTGAGCTGTAACAGAGGTGAAGCTGTTCAGATGAGCAGAGTGCATGAAAGACCTTGGCCACTATCTCATGTAGATTAGCCTGTCAGAAACTTTATGTCTCTCCTTGAGCAGACGCAGCAGATCATGACCTTTAGGTCAAAAACAGGACATTCATGACGCTACAAAGACAAAATGGGCGGTAGTCAGAATGCTGAAGAATGATCTGGACTACTTCTCTGTTTTTGTTTTCTGAATAAAAAGTCAGTTTTCTGACAGTAAGTCGGTAGAAAACAACACAGATGATAACTCGGGTTCATGGATCAGGCCTCAGTGTAAACGTCTAACTGCGGGCTTGTTTTCCAGTGTCTGGCCTTGGCTTTGGCTTCATGAGCGGAGCCTTCTCTGTGGTGAACATCCTGGCTGACTCTGCAGGACCTGGGACCGTTGGGATCCATGGAGACTCACAGCACTACTTCCTGTCCTCAGGTACAGAGTCCCATGTGCGTTTGTGTTTCTGAACATCTATCCCACTTAAACCGTCTCTGGGTGTCCTCTCCTAGCCTTCATGACTATGGCCATCATCCTGCTCCACATGTTCTGGGGTGTCGTGTTCTTCGACGCCTGCGAGAGGCAGCGCTGGTGGGCGGTCGCTGTGGTCGTCGTCAGCCACCTCATCGTCTCCTGCCTGGTGAGGGAGTCGCTGACTAGACAAATGCTAACGAAACTTTCAGAACCCACTTGAGTCTACATGAACAGACAGGAATGCTTATAGCTGTTCCACAGGAAGTGAGCCAAAACTTAGAAAAGATGGAGCATGACATACATTTTCGTATTTGACCAAAACAACAAGAACTTTATGATTTCTGATCATTTCAGTTTAAAACTCGTGACGGGCGAAACGCTTTTGGGAACAAAGAGGCCAACCTTTTGTGAAAGGGTTCCACCTTCAGCCAATGAGATGAATAATCTGTTTTCATTCGAATGATCTTAAAGTAAAAGCGTCATGTGCAGAGGCATTTATCCTCATTATCCCAGCATGTTGTCAGGACAGCATTTTCAGATCATTATTGATGTTTTGATGACATCACAGGTATACGTTTCCTGGGAAAGAATCAGTAACTTTAAAGAAAACCAGAAAGTATTTTTTTCTTGTGTTGAATTCTCCTTTCCTCTATACCGCTCCAGACCTTCCAGAACCCGGAGTACGTCGCCAGCCTAGTTCCCACCTACATCATCTTGTTCTTGATGGGAGTTTGGGCATTTTACACCGCTGGTGGCTCCCTCAGAAACCTCAAACTCTGCCTCACCTGCAAAGACAAGGACTTCCTGCTGGCCAACCACCGGCCAAGATAACACTGTGTGCTCAGCAGAGTTACCGGACTCTATTTAAAAATCTTAACACACACACACACACACACACACACACACGCTGAACATACAGAAGCATTGCATATGAAACTGGATCACCGTGTTTATCTCGAAACCTTAAAGCAGAGAACCGATGGTTTTGGGTCATGTTCACGTCAGTAAAGATTTTATTTTTGTTCACATTTTTCTCATCAATGCTTCAACGTAACGTCTTGCAGCAACACTCCTGACGTCCTTCAGTCATACAGTGTGACAGCTCTGATTGTTTAATCTAAATTCTGTTTGTACAGTAAGGAGACACTTTAAAGAACCTGGTGTGTAAACGCTGAACTCTCTGACCGTGTGTCTGATTTAGAACCAGCCTTTAACTTGAGGCTGATGTTTGTGTTGTAAAACATAATGATGAACAAACCCAGCTTGACTTTCTTGTCCTTGTTTGAACTCACCTTCCTTCTTTTGGTCTTGAACCAAACTGGAGACTCAGACACACTCAAGCTCCTTTCTTTCACATTAGTTGATGCTTTATTTTATTTTTCATTTTTCTGTCCACTCAAATGCAAAAGTGCGTCTGCTTGCTGGTCTCCTGATTGTTCACATTGATTTAGCTTTTTTAAGTTTTCGTACTGAACAAGTCTTTAAATTCTACACTGAATGCTTTCTTTGCACCTGATTTTGTTTTGATGATCTTCTGTACAGTTCATTCGAACACTGACATTTAAAGCAGATGGGATGTAAGAATTTATTTTACACAGAAAACCAACAAACCTGCAATAACAAATCTTTGTACGCTCAGTCTGTTGCTAGTAAAGAGAATCATGGATGTCTGGAGAGCAGAATAAAGATGGGTCTTTGTTGTTTACAGTGGTTAGAAATAAATGACCTGAAAATGAATATAAATTCTTGCCAGCTGTTTAATTTGTAGTTTAAGTTTTTGTTTTTGTAACATTAAGTGTGAATCAGAACGCCTCAGGTGTGGCAAGACTCTTTCTGTATTTTATCTCTTCAGATTTGGTTCAAAGAAAACTTTTATAATAAAGACAAAATGCTCTGTTTCAAATCCAGTAAGTCCTGAGGATGGAACAAATCTTTTTGCCACACAAATGCATTCCCTCTCTGGAAAGTTGTGAGACTGAAATGCAAAGTGAGATAAAAACAACAGTTTATGCAGTCATCCTATTAATGTCGCCATCACAGATGAGTCTAGAGTACAGAGCAGGTATCAGTGTCTGTGGATGAAACCAACCTTTAAGTTTATTTTTATTTCCAGGACAAATCAAACTGAAGAAGTGGGTCTGAAGGCCAGTTTCACCTACAAATATGAAATCACTTTCATGTTGCCTCTAGATTCCCTCTCCTCCTGGATCCCAGCTCTGCTCCTCAGGTCTCGTTTCATTTATGAAAGCAAACACCTCCTGGTTTGACCACACAAAGGTTTCAGAAGTCCCTGCGGGCTTCAGACAGTCAAAGGCCTTTTTACTCAGACAGACTGACTGACGGACGGACACAGGAAGCATTTCCTCTGCAGAAACCGCTCTTTAACATGCAAATGCAGGTGTGTGCGGTCAGTGACTCTGAGGTCAAGTCGGTAACTTTACAAGAGGTTTCTGATTCCTGCCAGGTCTTCATGGTTCATGAGTTAGGACTCAGGTCAGGCTGATCTAAGACGATACTTCAATAACTAAAAGTGTCCACACGTTTTATTAGAATCCAGCATTTACTCATGTCTGGTTTGCAAAAGAGAAAAAGATCCTCATGCTTAGCTTCGTGCTAAAACCATCCAGAGTCTGTTAACACCTGCTGAGGGTGAGATGAAGGTAGCTCTCCTCCACCACCATCTGCAGCATTTCTGACTGTTCCACGTTTAACTGTCCTGCGGACTTGTTATGATGGAAACATCTGGTTTATTATGGCTTTCCACCAAAAGGTGGGCGATAAGGTTTTTGCCTGTTTGGTGGCTACTTATTTCATGAACCACAGGACAGATTTGAATGAAACCATCCAGTAGGATGAACATTATGAACGGATTTACTCTTGGAGGGTGGGCCATCATCCTGCAGCAGGCTTGGACCCCGCTCAAGTAGAGCCCAAGCATTAATAAGTACTGATTTTTGTGATAATTTAGCCTAATGCCAGATGTGGAACCAAACATGTGAATGTACTTACATTTTCAAGATTTATCTGAGATGATAACAAAGTAATCAAGGAATTTGTTCAAAAATATTTGTATTTCAAAACTGATTAAAAACAGTTCTGAAACAACAGAGTGAATATATGTTAATATATTACTGTAACAAGAGGGAACATTTGTAATGTTTTCTTAGAAATAGTTCTCTCTGGCAGAGCAGCTGCCCCCATGTTAGTCTATGGAACCTCCCTTGATGACAGGCAGCATAACTACGGAGTTATTGAGGTTTTATTTGGAAAAAGGACAAATAAAGAGATAAAACAACTCCCCCAAACCTCTATTTGTCGTCAAGGCTGTGCTGAAACGATCTAGTGTTGGAAATGACATTTTACTTAATCAACATTAGGCTTTATTGTCAGAGATGTATTGTACTTATCTGATTTACCTGCCTTTGTCAGAAATAACAAATAAAATATCTGACTTTGGTTTGTCTGTATAAACCAAATCATGTCAGATTCTACCGATCGGCTTTGTGGGGTACCCCAAGGGTCTGTTTTGGGTCTACTGTTGTTTCTACCTGTACATACACCCTCTTGAACAAATATTTGATTCTTTTCATAATGTCTTTTATCACCTCTATGCAGGTGACATTCAGCTGTACTGCACCTTTAAGGATTCTCAGTTCTATAAACTGTCTGAATTACTAGAGTGTCTTTCAGCTATCACCAGCTGGCTAGAAGATAACTTCTTCCAGTTAAACTTGAAAAGTCTGAATGTCTGATTATTGCCCCTGAGCATGGATCCTCTGATTAGTCAACAACTTGGTCATTTATCTGGAGAAACCAGAAGAGCACACATCACTCCTAGTCTAATGTCTCTGCAGTGGTTACCCGTTAACTTTAGAGTTCATTTTAGAATCCTGCCTATAACGTTCAATGCTCTATATGGTCAAGCTCCTCCCTTTATTACTGAATTGTTAGCGCTTTATGCTCCAACCCGAGCCCTCAGGTCCACACACCAGAACCTTCTAGAAGTTCCAAACATCAGATATAAAAGTGGAGGTGATCGCTCCTTCCAGACTGTTGCATCCAGACTTTGGAATGATCTTCCTTTATCCAGCATTGACAGTCTCTGGACTCCTTTAAAAAATAGCTAAAGACCCTTTTATTTAAAGCTGCTTTTACCTAAATCTTTTATTTTCTTATTTTTAATTAAAGTTTGTAATCATCTTTCATTTGTTTTATGGTATTTTAGAATTTGTTTACTTTATTTTTCTGGTTTGAATTTATTTCTGTTTTTGAGATCATTATGATTTTATGACTTTATGTTTATTTTGTTTTGATCTATGTGAAGCACTTTGTGATTTTCTGACTGTGGTAAGTGCTATATAAATAAAATTTACTTACTTGTAAAATCTTGACCTGCAAACTAACTCAAATGGTAGTTTGGCTCTCTGCCACATTCAAAATAAAACAACAAACTACTAAATATAATATTAAACGAACTGTTTCACCCTGCAAAAGTTACAAAGAAGCAAATCCAAAACTCAAATGTGTGAGATGCTTCCTGTTGACACAGGGCGGCGCTGTCCTTTGTTAAAAACCAATTCAGGGGAATTTTAAAGAAAACTGAAATAAAATGTCTTTGATGTACACACGAGAACATTTGTGAATGATGTTTTTCTAGCTGAGACGCTTAAAGGCAGACCAGGCCTTCCTCTTCTGCTTGACCCCGCCCACTCTGAGCCCACCTGCGCATATTTTATGCTAATGAGCAGGTGCAGCGGTTCTTGAGGCATGCAGCGGGCATCTCAAACAACTAATTAAACAAATTCTGTTTGATGCACATTTTACAAATCCAGTTCTTTCAGAAGTATGAAATCCAATAGTTTATATTCAAAATTAAACACTAATGATGTTTACGTTCAAAGTGACATGAAGGTAGAATCTGTTTTTGCAGCATTAACTGTACCAGCTCAAACGAGAAAGGTAAGTCCATGACATTTCATTTATTAAATTAGAATGTGCGTTTTTCACTGAGAGCAGTTTTCTCACTTGTCTAGTGAAATAAATATGTTCAAATCTTAAAAATGTTAAAAATGAATTGAAGAACCAAATCAAACTTGGTCCTGTGTTATAAAGTCCTTTTAATTTCAATCTCCTTGTTCTAGTCTTTTTAGTTTTTCTTCTGGTATTTAAAAGCGCCCTCCTAAATCGGAGAGAGGTTTCCTTCAGGTTTTCAGGCTAAACTATTCCTTCACATGTGTGCATCCTTTTAAAATGTCCCCTGAAATCACAGATAGGAACAGAAAACCTCCCATCAGACTATAACTTTATGTTAGGAGTTCACCACATGCTGAGAAGTGGTTTGAGGTGACACCTTTTGTCCAACAGTTCTAGCATCTCCATAATGAATCCCAAGGAGTGTTCTCTCCCTGAATTAATCTCGGATGACTTTGAAGGAAATTCTTCTTCACAGGATCAGCTAAACCCAACGAGACTGTGAGTCTAACGGCATCATCTTACACTCAAAGTCAAAATCAGAGTCTCAACAAATCAATTATGACTCCTGGATTCAAACCGCACCAGAAATCAAGCTGTTGGACGAAACGGTGTCACCGCCATCAGTGTTGGACAAGAATCCGGATGGAACTCAAGGTCAGTCATCAGTTATTTATGTGTAAAAGTATAAATTATTACATAAATATGGTTTTATGGACAAGCTGTGTCCCATCCTTCCCTCAGATGAACAGCAGAAAGTGTTTTGACGAGACCGAGGCGCCAAAAAACCTCAAAAAGTTCCTCAAAGTTCCTCCAGGACCTTCATCTTCTGGGGAGAAAAACCTCAAGTTTGAACTCTGTGAGGACTCATGGTTGCCCTGATGTCCCTCTGTTCTGAGGTTGCAAACTCTTTTGTTTTCAAGTCAAAAAAATACAAACCAATGTTTAAATTGGACAAATTTTGATCAGAAACAATATGTTTAAACATATTTAATAAAGCTTCTCCCAGGGGTGTGTACTGGCAAGAATATGTTGCTATGACACACACACATATTCACAGTCACCATACAGAGGAGGCGGTGCTGTTTAGTGCATTACAAAAAGTCAGATGATATTTGTAGTTTTTAGCTGAATTTAATTGGAAAACTCAGGTCAGAAGCTTCTGAGACACTTCCATTGTTACCGTAAGGTTTAATCAGAATGAGGAATAGACACCACAGATCAGGTACCGGTATTTCAAATTATCTGTTTTAGCAGAATTTATCCGTGTAGTGCAAGTTTCTCAGTTGCCAGAATTTCACAAATATTAAGAAGGAAGAAAAACAAAAACATAATGGACCATCCAAAGGACCATTAATAATGCAGCTGGGATTTAAATAAAGTTTTACTTTAATAAAATGTATTCATCATTGCAAAGTTCCACAGTATTTTGCATTGAATTACTGAGCCACATGTGTTACGAAGGTGGTTGATCTAAGGAAGTCCAGAACTAGAAAAATTGGAAAAAGTTCTTTTTCTTTTTGTTTCTACAAACAACTTCAATTAAATAAATATGATGGGGGGGGGGGTCTGGGTGTGTTCAAAGGGGAGGAGTCAACTAGGTAGGAGGATGGGCTTTGTGGTTCAACAAAGTAGAGATAGTTCCCCATGGGTTTATGCCATATTTTTTCATTCTGTATAAAAGAGGATATAATAATAATAATAGACTTTATTAATCCCAGTTGCTACAGCAGCACATACACATACAAAAGGAAGAAGACAAATAAGAACAAGATCCAAGTCCAAGCAAGGCAAAATCCCGGGCATGGAAGGAGTTTGATGAGACCATGGAGCAAGACTTCTGTTATGGCTCTGAGGAGATTCTGGTCCGCCATCTGGTGCCTCAACTCCGAACGTTGTGGATCAGTGGGCGGAATACTTCGAAGACCTCCTCATTTCCACCAGCATGTCTTCCAGTAAGAAAGTGGTGTCCGGGGATGTTTTACCT